TGAAGGCAGGAGACAGGAAAAGGAATGCTGTGGGACTGTCCTGCTTCAAGGATATATATGGTTAGATTTCTGGACTTATGTGTAAACATGAGAAGTATATAATTCTTTATGCCTATTTTTAAAAATATATTCTAATTTAAAAAACAAACACTGGGTTTCATTAATTAAAAAATAACTATTGAGAAGGTTTAGTTTGGTTTATTTTGGTGATTTTTATTTGTAAAATGGGTTTTTCACATTAGTGCACTGTACAGTGGGGTCTCACAGCGGTGGGTATATTCCAGACACCCCTGCAAGAAGTGAAAGTCAGTGAAGTGGTGAAGTTGTATTTTAGTATTTATTTATATTTCAGGGCCTTGTAAACCCTTCCCACATTTTTTTATTTTTTATCTATTTTTGTATTTTAGGGAAGTGTCTACAGGGTGTTCAGGGTCTCACTGCTAGATGGACTCATAGTGATCTGCCTGTTTCCAGCCTTTTAAGAGCCAGGATTACAGGCTTATGCCAGCATGCCTAGTCTCAGTTTCCGTCTCAGCACGTCCTGGGAGCAGGGCCGGCACAGCAGGCCCGGGGATCGAGCCCCCTCTGAGCTATTTGGCCAGCCCCCCCCCCTTTTTTTTATGTATTTGGTACAGAGTCTCACTACACACCTCAGACTCTAGTGATCCTCCTGTTTTCAGCCTCCCACTTTCCCACTTTCCTTGGTGCTGGGATTATAGGTGTGTGCCACCACGCCCAGTCTCAGTGGCCAATTCAGCATGCCCAAGGGCAGGGCCAGCACCAGCATAGCAAGTGATGCAGGGGATCGGACCCTGGTTCCTGTGCCTGCCTAAGCAGTAAACCTGAGTAATTTTAACAACATAGTATGCTATACAGTTAAGTATGTGTTCATCTGCTAAAGAAATACATACTATAAATTGATTTTGTTTCAATTTAATATTTTAAAATTAACATTTTAAATACATTTTTGTGTATTTTTAAAATTTTTAGGCAAAAATCATTAAAAGCATAAATACTACACATATAAATACATATACAGTACTATACACTACCACAAAATCCCATGATATAGTGAAAAATCTGCAATAAATAATTTAGATTAGTTTTTTTTGAAAACTTGCGAAACAGTGAGTCTGCAAAAATTGAACATGAAATAGCGAGGGACTACTATATAAAGGAGAAGATCAGCAAGTTTGACTAGTAAAAGTATATGGCAACTATAATGCTGAAAACATCAGTCCTTTCTGTTAAAGTCTGTTAAGTACATTTAAAACCCAATTGAGAAATATAATTCTTTGTACCATATTTATTTATTATATAAAGTATGTGTGTTTTTTAAAAAATGTGTGTTTTAAATTCTTATTTCTCTTCAAGGCTTCATCTAGACCAATTACAAGAGAATCATGGATGACTGAGCTTCCTCCAGAAATGAAGGACTTTGGTCTCGGGCCAAGGACCTTTAAAAGAAGAGCTGATGACAAATCCGGAGATCGATCAGTCTGGACAGATACTCCTGCTGACAGGGAAAGGAAAGCTAAGGTGTTTGTTTATATATTTTTGTCTGTGTTGGCTCAATTTTGAAAACATAAAAGGCAAAATTATTTAAGGACACTAATTTTTGAAATTAATGTTTCCAAAGAAAATTATAAATTTTTTCCTTGTGAAGGAAAGTTATGAAGGAAAGTCGCACTGTTTGTCTACTATTTTCTAATAAATGTCCTCATTGAAATCTCAAGAAAACCTAAGATACAGGTTTACTGACTTGATTTAGTTTTTTTTTTTTTAACACGTTTTCAATACAGATTGTTTACATTCCTTGTGTATGGAATTGATATGTTTACTTTTATTGTGTTGTTTTTGAGACAGGGTCTTGCTATGTAATTCAGGCTGGCCTCGAACTCATGGCAATCCTCCTGTGTGAGGCCACTGAGGCAGGCAGAGTTTAAGCATAATACAAGGTTTATTGCAGACTGGGTGCAGCTGGACCAAGGTTGAAAAGATCATTGGCCCCAGGTAAGGGGCAACAGCGTGTTTTATAGGAGAGTTTTGGTATAGGAGAGATGCATAGCTGGGGGCCGGAGGGTTGCAAAATTTGGGGTCTGAGTAGGGGACCTAGGGCTGGCTGATAGACAAGGAGTGTTGGGCACAGGAGGTTGCTGGCAGGCACAGCATGTCTCTTATGGTTTTTCTCAGAATCAGCTCTCTGCAAGTTGAGCTGTTTGGGGCGGCTGCTAGGTGGTCAAGCTCCTTGGGGAAAGCTGGTAGCTTTCTGTTCATGCTGTGTACCTACAGGTGTGAATAACAGATCAGTTTGGGAAGGTTTTCTCTCCTAAATGGGTGGGGGTCTGGTTTGAAGACCTGACATTTTTATCTATTGTATTATAACCTATGTGGAAGCTATCATGGAGAGGAGAGAATCTGATGAGTCTGGGGCGTGGGAATGAGATACTTTACTTAGTCAAGGAACCCGTCCTGCTGAGGTAGGGAATATCTGGTACTGTGAGTGTTCTTCTGTGGAATAGTTGGGCCTTGGGAGGCGGGTGGAGTGCTAGCAGAGGCAGCAACCTCCTTGGCTGTCTGGTCTATGAAAGAGTTTCCCTGTGCAATGGGGTCTGTGGGGTTTTGATGTCCCTTACAGTGAATCACTCCTGCCCGGCTAGGAGTGCCTTTGTTGGGTATAAGTTAATGATAGAGGATACCCTGGGAATAAGAAATCCTCTTTTAGCTCAAATTACTGCTTGGCTGTGAAGGATGTGAAAAGTGTATTTTCAGTCCGTAGATATTAACTCTGCTTTCTTTCCCAGGCTGAGGGCTGGTGTCAGAGCTGAGTTCAGCCTGTTGTGAGGGGGTGTGTTGGGGAAGAGTTTGGGCCTGGATTATTGTGTCAGTTGTAACTGTGGTGTATCCTACTCTTACCATAGAAGCAGCTGAGGCTTTGCACAACTGCCATCTAGCAGCCAGGTGTTGTGGGTTCTGTATAGGAAGGCCTAGAGATGTCAGGGAAGAGCCTGGTGTGTCCATGTAGGAGGGCCAGGCAGTTACACTCCCAAGTAGGTGCCCAGTGTCTTTCATCTCTATGTGGGAGGGGGTGGAGAAGGAGAGAGCAGGAGGGCAGTGGGCATGGGGTGGTACTAGGGATATTCAAGAGTAGCAGATAGTTTTGTTAAGATGTCTCTCTTCAAGAGCAGGATGGGGCAGGTCATGATGGCCAGCAAGACAAGGAGAATATGTGGTTTTACAGCTGGCAGAGGAGCCAGTGAGAAGGTTAGACATAGGGCCATCAGTCCCCACAACAGAAATATCAGCCAAAAGGAACTGTTGTGCACAAGAAGGGAAGGTGGAATAGGTCACCCCCATGTCTGTTGGGATTGAACAGTCTTACTCTCCACCTTAAGATTTACCCAGAGTTCAGCAGCTGGGATGGGCCAAGGGCCATCCAGGACCTTCAGGGCATGTCACTTGTCAGAGGCCAAACCAATCAGGTCAGAGAAAACCAGGTTGTCCTGTGGGGTGCCCTGGGAGGGACCCCCTGTAGCAAATCTGGTTGCCACAGGACAGTCCAACAAGGCTTGGTAGGGGGCTTGGGGTTTGGGCACTCTTGCTCAGTGGCTGACTGTTGACACTTAAAGCAGGGTCCTGCAGGGGTGAATCTTTTGTGTCCCTGGACATTTTATTGGCAGCTTGTTTGGGTTTTGGGTTTCTTATGGTGGAAGCAAGTAATGACTGTGTAGCTATTAACTACAGAGATGTATTGCTGCAAGCAGCCTTTTCTCAGTTGTTGTAGACCTTGAAGGCCTGGGAATTTAATTCCTGTCCTGGGGTCTGAGGGCCTATCTCAATTTTTTGGAGTTTTTTGCTAATGTCAGGAGCTGATGGAGTGATAAAATGCATTTTGTGAATCAGTTGTCTCTCTGGGCCTTCTGGATTGAGGGTACTATATTTTAGGATGGTTGCCAGTCAGGTCATAAACTGAGCCAGATTTTCATCCTTTTTTGAATAATATGTTTGTCATGATTGACCAACTTGTGGGCTGCTTTTCTGTAGTCAAGTGAAGGCAAGTGATCGTATAGTTGCTTATCCTTTTAGTGGAGCAGGTTTCTTCCTTATCTCTTTGGTTAAAGTCCCAATGGATCTGGCCTGGGGACAGCCATGGCACCATCCCTCCATAGGGCTTGGTCCAACTGTGGTTGCTGGCACATGTGTGGGCTACTGTCCAGACCTGTTCTCACTCCTCTTCATCCCAAGTAAGGTTTGAGCCAGATGGTGAAACTCTTGGATGTAAGTGCAGGGATCGGAGAGAAAGGAGCAAAGACAGTGCAACTTGAGACATGACTGAGGGAGAAGGAAGCATGGACCTGGACAGTGCCCTCTGCACCAGCAACCTTGCAGAGAGGGAGTTGGGCAAGCAGGGGCTGAGAGGGAGGGCTGAGAGGTGGGGGGATGGGCAGGACAGCGTGGGTGGGGGTGAGTGGCAGCCAGAGGGGTCCCAATCAGAGGAGGAAGTTCCCACACATTGCTTAAACTCTACCTGTCTCAGTGGTCTCAACTGTGTCTCATATTACCCTAACAAATAGAAAGTTGAGGTGAAGTGACACATGAAAGCAGAAGAGACAAAAAAGGATACAGTGTATACATAAGCCCCAGACATTGAAAGGCTAGTGTTGGTGTATCTGTTCTTTCTTTGCTGGTTTTTATAATAATGATATAATCAGGGTATGTATTTTTATACTAATGGCATGTCTTAGTCACTTTCTTCCTCCCTGGGATGCTGTGCCTAACATCAACAAATTAAATGAAGAGAGGTTTATGTTGACTCATGTTTAGAAGTTTCAGTCCTCACATGACTGGCTGTGTCCAGGCCGAAGCAGCATGGTAGGAGTTCCTGCAAAGGAAACTTGTTTCTGGCATGGCCCTGGGGGAGCAGAAAACAAGTCAAGCACAGACTGGGAAGGCAGGTAGACCCTTGTCAGTCTTGCCCACACTGACCTTCTTCTTCTCCCTAGACCATGGACAGGAATGGGAAAAAGATAGACAAGCAGACAAAAGCTGGGCTGGGTGGTGACTGGTCTGCCTGGTTGACAAGACTAACCCACCTGCAAAACAAAACAGACATTTATTTATATCTTTGTAAAGTTAATAAAAGGTGACACAGGGTTGCCGAGGGACTAATAGCTGACCTTAACCAGACAGGATGTTTGTCTCAAGACCGAGGTAGCTTACTTGCTTTCAGCACTGAGGCCTAGTCCTGCCTACACACCTTTAACTGATTTTCCAGCTTCCAAGGCTCCCAACAGCAAGCCAGCTAGAATTCTCCTACAGTCCAGTCACCCTCCAAACACATGAGGCTTTGAGGGCCAGTCTAGACCTAAACTGTAGCATATTGCAATTTTTATAACTGAGCCTTTTCTGGGCCTTGTTGTTGTTTGGCCTCTCGCTGTAGGTTAATACAGATGACTACCATACTTCTACGTGTGCAGGGAATCATCCTCAGAGGAAAGCACTATTTAAAAAGAGCACAAGCACCAGGCAGTATAGTTTGAACTTGAGTCACTTTAATCCATATGACCGAGATGATTCTTCATCTTAGTGCTGAAAATTTTTGCTCAATGCTAACAGTGGACTCAAAGGGATTATTAATGCCTCTTTTAAGTTTTATGTAATTCTGTATCATAGTTCATAGTACCATAGACTTAGGTCAGAAATGATATAATATACTGTTCTTTGCTCCTTTGTAAAGTTTACGACTAATTTTCTTCTTCTTCTTTTTTTTTTTGGCGGAACCAGGGATTGAACTCAGGCCCTTGCGCTTGCCAGGGAAGCGCTTATTCCACTGAGCCATCTCCCCGGCCCCTTGACTAATTTTCTAATTGATCTCAGCCAGATATCCTTGTTAATATATTTTCTCCACTCACTTTATCATTTTATGTTTGCTTTCCCAACGTCTTTCATAGCTCTCATATTCCCTTAACCAACATGACCTAAAATAAATCATTGTTCATTAGAAAGAAATGAAAAAGTTTTGCATAAATTAACTGAATGAGATCTATCTGTCCTTACCTCCAAGTCCTGACAAAATGTAATAGCAGATGACTCTGTTGTCTGTTATTCAAGGATCAAGTTTACATCTCCATTTTAACATAGTATCACCTTTCTCTTAATATTTACAAGTAAAAACATGATTTTTTTTAGCCAGGTGTGGTGACACACGCCTATAATCCCAGCACTTGGAGGACTGAGACAGGAGGATCACCATAAGTTCAAAGCCAGCCTGAACTACATAGTGAGACCCTACCTCACGAAAAACAAAAACATGTTTTTTTGAGGAAAGTTTTATGGAAAAATAAGGAATAAACTATTCCAATATTTTTAACATACTTTATTAAGTTTTGGTTGTTTTAGTTCATAGGAAGATACAAATTTTGTTAAGAAAGTCTCCTTGGTTTTCCTTTTTTTTCCTTTATGTATTTGGTACAGGGTCTCATTGTGCAGTTCAGACTCGTAGTGATCCTCCTGTTTTCAGCTCCTCAGCACTGGGATTACAGGCATGCACCATCACGCCTGGTCTCTTTGGCTCAGTGCGCCCCGGGGTAGGGCCAACGCAGCATGTGGTGCCAGAGATAGAAACCGGTCCCTGTGCTTGCCTGAGCAGGCACTTAGTCCACTGAACTATCTCACAGGCCCTCGTTTTCCTAATTAAACAACAACATAAAAATGTGCCTTGAAGACAATGTTTTATCAGCCATTTTTATGCAGATCTTCCTCACTCTATATTCTATAGAATACCATTATAACATTTTTCTTATTACATTTTATTGTAAGTTTTCCTAATTATTTAATTTTTGTGTGCATACTATTATCAGTATTATCTTTGCTTTGTTTTAAATTCCAGTTATCTATTACTTATATATTTTGCATATTTATGTTGTATCCTGTAGTTTTGCTGTACTTGCTTAATATTTCCAGGATAGTTTGTTTGGTATATTTTACATAGAATATCTTACCTTCTGTGATTAAAGGCAGTTGCTTTTTTGTCTTGCATTTTCACGTGTTGGCATTTGTACTGGTGATTGAACCCAAGGCATTCGCACTGCACCACATCTCCAGCCCTTGAGGCATCAGGATCAAAAATTTAAACCCAGTCTATGGGAAAGACCCCCATCTCAAAAGAGAAAAACTTTGTGAAGAGCTAAGGATATAGCTCAGAAAGGCCCTGGAGTCAGTCCCTAGTTTTACATATAGATAAAAATAAA